GAAGGCAGACCGTTAGAGATCCTCACCAGACCTGGCGGAACACCCTGTCCCAGTCCCCCCCAGTACCTCAGCTCTTTGCGTCCCAGCACACGGATGTCCTTGCAGCACTGACGCAGCTCCTCTGTGGTGGAACTGTGATTCTCCAGCTCACCATCTCCCAGGGTGATCTGCATAGAGCAGAGAGAAATCAATTAAGCACGTAGGTTAAGTCCCTTTCTTTCAGAAGAATAATGAACTTATAAAATACAGGAACAATGACTGGCTGAACTCCAGGCGGGCTCTTGCCCTGCCTCCCCTCTGCAGGAACACAAAACGGCACCATTGCTGGGTCACCCAACTCCTTCTTTTCATTTCTCTGTGCTCCTAGGGACATCTCTGGGGCCACCAAGGTCCCCCTCGCTTCAGGCACTCACCTCATTGGCCTTGGAGAGGAAGTCCACAGGGTTGGGAGCCTTGAGGAAGTCCATGAGGGTGAAGCGGTGGTAGAGGGTCGTGTCGCCATCTGCGTAGCCTTCTGCCTACGGAAGGAAGGAGCTGTGTGAGTCGTGGCAGGGCACAAAAGCAGCTTCAACCGTCCCTAAAAGATGAATTATTTAACTCGTGTCTTGCTGCGGTGTCCACCTTAATGTGCCCACGTGACTTAGGAATGAGCGCAGGTCACCAGCTCCAAGATGTCACACAGTCCCACCTCGGACACAGCGAGGTGACAGTGACACAGGTCTGTGAAGCTCCATGCCCAGCTGAGGCCACTTGATGTGGCCTTTGGTGTCCTGTGTCCCAAAGACGCCTCACAGAGACACAACCCAGTGGCCAGCCATCAAGCCATCACAGGGAGGGTTTTACTGATCCATCCCCAGCCTCACAAGTTTTTCACTCCTTCCCCATCACTGCGCTGCCTTCCCAAGGCTGCAAACCTCCCCACAACTGGCTCTTCCACCACTTCACATCCCCAGATCTTTCATTTTCCTGCGTAACTTTGCTTATTACAATCTCTTTAGCCCCAAACCCTCGCCTCTTTAGTGTGTGTTTGGCCTTGATGCCCAGCGAAGCAAGCTCCTACCTTTGGCTTCTTTTTGCTGACCAGCTCGCTAACAGATTTAGCCTGAACCTCCACATCCTTGAAGGCATATTTTGGGTCAAAGAACTTGCTGTCGATTTTGTCTGGAGCCTGATAACCTGGGATGAAGGAATCAGAGACATTAGCAGGCTTTTCCCAGCCCCATCCCAGCGGCTGCAGATTTCCCCGGCCGCTCACCCTGGCACACCACGAAGATCTCAGCAGACTCATTGCGGGAGGCTTGGGGCTTGGTGGCCTGGACCTTGCTGAAGAACTGCTGGAAGATCCAGAGGAGCGGCTGGTAGTCCCGGGAACGAAAAACCTTGGTGATGAACCAGCCGCCTTTGCAGAGGAACTCACAGGCCAGTTTCAGGGCCATGAGGGTCAGGTTGGCTGGAGCAGGGGAGAAGGGCAGTCAGCAGTCGTCACTGTCCCCATCACCCAGCTCACACCACTGCTACCAGCCCTGCCGGGGTGTATGAGATGTTCCTGCAGCCCTCGTAGCCCCCAGACCATGCCAGGACACTTGCCAGCCCCGGGAGGGCCCCACCTTGGGAGTAGGCATCATGCACCCAGCTGGCTCCCACGTTGGGGGCTCCGTCGTTCAGCACCACGTCCACCTTCCACGTCTGCAGCTCCTTGCGCAGGGCCTGAGGAACGGGGACATGTGTTTGTCCCACTAACCCCTTGGCAAGAACCAACAGACAGCACCCCCCACCCACGTCAGCTCCGCTCAGCCCCCTGCCCCTGTCCTACCCCTGAGCAAACCCCAGCTGAACTGGTGGGGTGAAGCCCACTCCCATCGCAGAC